GCTTTATTTATTATAAAACTTTTGCGTGGCGAAATCGATTCACAGTTTTTAACCGGTGAATTAAATTTTAATATAATAATACTAACCCTCCATAGTTCGGACTATGGGGTGTACGCGCTCCCTACGTAATTGGGAGGTGGCCCCCTCGGTCGGCAGGGGCGGGTGAGTGTGGCGTTGGGACCGATCGAAAAAAAAAAAAAAAAAAAAAAAAAAAAAAAAAAAAACATCGTTTTTTAAAACTTTAGAAAATTAAAAGAAAAATTGTGTTAAAACCTTAAATTTTTTTTTGAAAAATTGAAAAAAAACTGCTTTTAATGTCCTTAGTTCTTATTTTCAAAAAAAAAAAAACCATTGGACCTTTTTAAGAATTTCAAAAGAGTACTTTCCGAATCGCTCCTTTAAAATCCTTAGTCTTTCTTTTCAAAAAAAAAAAAAAAAAAAAAAAAAAAAAATAAAATAAAATAAATAAATAAATAAACAAAAATTAAACCTCCAGGAATAAAAAAAATCGATGGACGATTTTGAAAGTTTTTTTTAAATTAAAAGAAAAAATTTATGTTTAAATCTTCAAATTTTTTGAAAAATTGAAAAAATAGCTTTTAATGTCCTTAGTTCTTATTTCCAAAAAAAAAAAAAAAAAAAATCGATGGATCTTTTTAAGAATTTCTAAAGAGTACTTTCCGAATCGGTCGTTTTAAGTCCTTAGTCCTTCTTTTCAAAAAAAAAAAAAAAATAAATAAATAAATAAATAAAAATTAAACCTCCGGGAATGAAAAAAATCGATGGACGATTTTGAAAGTTTTTTTTTTAAATTTCTAAAGTTGTAACCATCATTTTTTAAAACTTTAGAAAATTAAAAAAAAAAAATCTATGTTTAAATCTTCAAATTTTTTGAAAAATTGAAAAAATAGCTTTTAATGTCCTTACTTCTTATTTTCAAAAAAAAAAAAAAAAAAAAACCGTTGGATCTTTTTAAGAATTTCAAAAGAGTACTTTCCGAATCGCTCCTTTAAAATCCTTAGTCCTTCTTTTCAAAAAAAAAAAAAAAATTAAATAAATAAATAAATAAATTCATAAACAAATAAACAAAAATGAAACCTCCAGGAATAAAAAAAAATCGATGAGCGATTTTGAAGGATTTTTTTAAATTTCTAAATTTCGTTTTTTTAATCTTTAGAAAATTAAGAAAAAATCTATGTTTAAATCTTCAAATTTTTTGAAAAATTGAAAAAAAAAAATTGCTTTTAATGTCCTTAGTTTTTATTTTCAAAAAAAAAAAAAATCGATGGATCTTTTTAAGAATTTCTAAAGAGTACTTTCCGAATCGCTCGTTTAAATTACTTAGTCCTTCTTTTCAAAAAAAAAAAAAAAAAATAATAAATAAATAAAAAAAAAATAAATAAAAATAGAAAAATAAATAATAATAAAAATACATAAATAAATAAACAAAAATTAAACCTCCGGGAATGAAAAAATCGATGGACGATTTAAAGTTTTTTTTTTTTAATTTCTAAAGTTGTAAACATCGTTTTTTTTTAAACTTTAAAAAAAATCTATGTCTAAATCTTCAAATTTTTTGAAAAATTGAAAAAATTTGCTTTTAATGTCCATAGTTCTTATTTTCAAAAAAATTAACTAATCATCTTAAAAAAAAAAACATTCTAACCCCCCAGGAATAAAAAAAATATGGACCTTTTTAAGAATTTCTAAAGAGTATTTTCCGAATCGATCGTTTAAAATCCTTAGTCCTCATTAAAAACCAGTAAGGAAAGCTCAAAAGTCGGGCGGGACCGACTATATGATACCCTACACCACTATGCATACTTAGTAGAGCTCTCGTAAAAAGGTTTATACAGGGCATTTCAGAGCTCTATGAGATATTTGGTACAAAATCAAAATCTATCTAATTCTATCGTGCATTTTACGAACTATAGCTATCTCTGAACCGGGTTTCTCCAAATTTTACGTATTAGCTTCTAGACTGAATGCGGTCTTATGTACGAAAATTCACGTGATTTGGGCTAATATTGACCATTTAGTGCACATTTAACCCGAAATCGGATGAAGATATATATGGGAGCTATATCCAAATCTGAACCGATTTCGATAAAATTTAAAACAGCTATTCCTGTGCTCCATCTAATACCTGGTACCAAATATCACGGTTGTGGAGTGCATAGTAGGAATGTGAGGGACTTAAAGATCAAATCGGATGAAATATATATATGGGAGCTATAGCTATATCTGAACCGATTTTCTCCAAATTTGATATACTTGCTTCTAGGCCGAACTCGGTTGGGTGTGCCAAAATTCAGGTAATTTGGACTGATAGTGGACATTTGGTGCACATTTAAACCGAAATCGGATGAAGATATATATGGGAGCTATATCTAAATTTGATCCGATTCTCACCAATTTCAATAGGGTTCGTCCTTGGGCCAAAAAAATATTGTTTGGAAAATTTCATCTCAATCGGATAATAAATGCGACCTGCATTTTGTTCACAAGAATACATGGACAGATGGACGGACGGACGGACATGCATAAATCGACTCAGAAAGTGATTCTATGAAGGTTCTCAAAAGTAACTATGGGTCTATCTCGTTTCCTTCTCCATGTTACAAACAAATGCACAAAGACATAATACCCTTACCACTATGTGGTGTAGGGTATAAAAATAAATAAAAAAATAAAAAAGTCCTTATTTCAAAAAAAAAAAAAAATAAATAAATAAAAAAATGGGAGGAACCCCTAGAAATTAAAAAAAAAACTTTTTAAAAAATGTCAAAAAAAATACTTTCCGAATTGTTCGGAATTTTTTTTTATACTAATTTCAAGTAGCCTGTCAGTTGTGATTATTAAAAAAAAATAATTTTCCGAAAGCTATCTAATCTATATAACTGCCAATAGTTTTTGCCATTGCATCTTGAGTGTGCGGGTAAGGTAGTCCATAATTGGACGCAGTGATGATGATGTTAGCCCCCCCCCCCCACTTTTTTTGCGAAATTTTTAATTTACTTAATTACTACGAACCTTTTGAGTGACAGAGACGAAGAGGGCCTGATAAGGCCTGATCTATTGCAATGCAATGCTGATGAGTACTAACCATCGCCAACTTATCGAATTTCCGAACAAAAATTATTTTTTTTTTGTTTTGGGGTTTCAATTCGACAGAGGAACTAATCGAGCGAATAAAATAGAATTTTTGAAGTGGAAACGAGACATCGATCGCAAACGGTTTAGTTGGAAATAAGTGGTGCCGGTGTAAAGAACAAACAACGCGAATTGGTCGGAACAACACCAGATGGGTGGTATTGAGTTTTTCTTTTTATTTTTTTTTGGCAGCCAAAAAGTGAAATCAATAATCAATGATAAATAATTGTGTGTGTGTGTGTGTGTGTGTTGATGTCTAAGCAATTGAAAACATAAACAAACAAGTAGGCAAAGGCTACAGTCGAGCGGGGCCGACCGTTGAATACCCTACAACACTATAATAAACCATACAGTTTATATAGGCGAAATACTCGACAGAATCCCACAAGATATTGTGACAAATAATAAAAGAAAACCATCAGGTTTCGTTCTCTAATTTTCGAATGGTCTTCCTAGATCTGGAACCAATATTTCCCAAAGACCTATAACCTCTCAGAAGTGGCAAAAGATTAACATTTATTATTGGTTTTTGACTGAAACGCATCTATATGAGATACAGACATTTGACTATATTCTTCAACGAAATCAGTCGGAAGTGCGTCTTTCCTGTATTTGTGAATTCTCCAAAAAGTCACTTGAATGGACATTTTCGTATTTTGTCTATAAAAGTTGGCAAACTCCTTCACACATTGAATATTTTGGATGACCATCCGAAACTGCTTGGCTTTTGCAATGTGCGGTAACCCCCATTCAAATGTGCGTGAGGATCGGGCGATAATTACGACCTGCAGACAATTTTGCAGTTTTTTGGTCCATTTCAACCCCTAAATATATTGCGATCATCTCCAAAAAGAGTAGCCGTAGACCCTCATCTTATCCCCATGCAAAATTTCGTAAGGATCGGGCCATAAATGAGATCTGTATATGATATCCTCATATCCTAACTACTTAGTTTTGTTAGCTGTAGAAATATTACCAAATGTTTAATTCAAAATGAAAATATGCCAAAAATATGAGAAAATGGAAAAAATATGAGAAAATTTTACTAAATCAATATTTTCACCTTTAGAGAGATATTTTTATGCGATTTTTTTAGACGTTTTTTCTTTCCTGCCAAGAGGCCATTCTGAATTAATGAGAACTGTCGAAATCAGTTCAGCCGTTCTCCACATATAAAAGATCTTTCAAGCATATCTTCTTTGATAGACATATATATCGCACATATTTTGCTATATATCCGATTTGTTGGATAATAACATCAATGTAAAGATCAGAAGTAACCTTGTGATGGCTTTGTGATTTCGCCGGGATTTAAAATATTCACGGTTTAATCAAAAATTTTGATTTTTTTCAACACAAAAGATATGGTCTATTTTACCCGCTAAATATTATCCGATGACCACCCAAATTAGTGGGCTTCTTCCCCGCCCTAAACTCTATCTTCACGCAAAATTTCGCGTCGATTGGTCTATAATTGCGACCTGTATAGCTACTGCAAAATCCGAAATTTTTCCAGTATTTGGTCCATTTCAACCCCTAAACATTTGGCGATCATCTCCAAAAGCAATAGGGTTCTATTCTGGTCCAAGCCCCACCTACATTCTAAAATTCGTGAAGATCGGGCCATAATTACGACCTGTAGAGTGATTACAAATTAACATGGACAGACGGACAGACGGACAGACGGACGGACGGACATACATAGCTAGATCGACTCAGCTCGGCGAGCTAGGAAGATCCATATATACTTTCCTATGTGGGAAACCAATATTTCGAGGTGTTACATAATTTTTGGCCCAATCAAACTTATAATACCCTCAACACATAGTGTTGTAGGGTATAATTAGCGTTTTTTTTTTTGGGCAATTAATAAACAAATGATGCCGTAAAACAGGCAGACCCACTAGAGCAACCAAACCCCATCACCACCTGTGAAAAGAAAAACCTATAAAAAATTGAAATTTTCTTTAATGTCAAGATCGGAAAAAAGAAGAAACTAAGAGAGAAAAGAAAAAAATATTGAAATAAGAAAATTGTTGAAAAAATTATTTCAAATGTAAATCGCCACCTCGCCGCCGCCGCCGCCACCGAAAAATGCGAAATAAAATGGATGTGAAAATTTTGAAACGTTTCACATTTCTGTATCGTCGGAATTTTGAAATTTTCCTTCTAATATTTACCATGTCGATAGCTTGTATACTCTTGACCCATCATGTCCGGTCGGCAATTAAAAATGTCCGTTACGATCGTCAGCTGCGGGGCGAAAGCATAACCGTGTCGATGGATAAACGACAAATACGCAATGACCGATTGAAATCGATGCTGCATTGCTTCGATAGGCCCCTGCAAATGGAACAGCTGCAATATGGCCACTACTGGTTGCTGAAAAATCTGATACGAGGACGTCGCAGCATTTATATGGGTTGTACCGAATCCATAACCTATACCACAAATGGAGATTATACGTTTCTGGATAATATTGAAATGGTAGTGACACGGTAAGTTGTGGGAGGGGCAGGGGGACTCTCAGAGAGAGAGAGAGGATTTTTTTTTCAAAAGGACTCCCAGGACTCGAAAAGGACCCCCAGGACTCGAAAAAAAGGGATTGTAAGAGGTTTTTAAGCAGACTCCGAAAAGAATGCAGAAGTGGACTCCTTAAGAATTTACAGGAGTCTTGGAAAGAAGTATGCACCTGAATTCTCTTAGTCTTATCAAAGTGCTTATCAAAGTGATTTCCTGATGAATTATTAAGCGCCTACGAAAGGCCTGAATTCTCTTAGCCTTTGAGGGGCTTATCAAAGTGATTTCCTGATGAATTACCTACGAAAGGCCTATCAAGGTGGATTCTTTAGAATATTGTTAAGGTATTTAAAAATCTTATAAATTTGGACTTCTTAAGAATTTGGGGAATCTTTGAATGGCCTATCTATGTTGGGGAGTCATAGTGGATTCCTTGGGAATTTGTCGAGGTCTCTGAAAATGTTATAACTGTGGACTTCTTAAAAATTTGTGGGAGGTCTTCGAAGGGCCTATCAAAGTGCATTCCTTGAGACTTTTGAAAAGCCCCTTAAAGGTATATCAAAGTGGATTCCTTAAAAAATCTGAGATGCTCTCAAAGGCTTCTTACTTAGATTTTCAAGGATCTGAAAGAGGGGATTTTTGAAGCTGGAAGTCTTCCTTGAAAATTTTGAAGACCCCCTTAAAGGATTCCGTAAAGAAAATTTATGAGACTCTCGAAGGACCCTTACTTCGATTTGCAAAGAACTGGGGGGATCTTTGAAGCCTTTTTTTTAATAATTGTGAGGGGCCTATGAATGGCCTATCATTCCTGGATTGATTCTTTAGAAATTTACAAAGGTCTGTGAGAATTTTATAAATATGAATTTGGGGAGGCTTCGAAGGGCCTGTCAAAGTGCCTTCTTAGAGAACTTTGAGGAGTTCCTTAAAGGTTTATCGAAGTGGATTCCTTAACAAAAATTGTGAGAACCTCTAAGGCCACTTACTTGAACTTTTAAGGAACTGAAAGAGGGGATCTTTGAGGGTTTTTTTTTAAGAATTGTAGGGCCTATCAAAGTGGATTTCCTAAAAATGTATCGAGGTCTCTAAAAATCTTATAAATGTGGACTTCTTAAAAATTTGGGGAGTCTCCAAAGGGCCTATCAAAGTGCCTGCCTTGAGAACTTTCAGGAGTCCCTCAAAGGTTTAACGAAGCAGATTTCTTAAAAAATATGAAACTGTCAAAGGACCCTTACTCGGATTTTCAAGGAAAGAAAAAAGAGTACATTTGAGGAGTTTTTTTTTTTTAAGAATTATTAGGGCTTTTCAAGGTGAAATCCTTCGAATTTTGTCGAGGTCTCTGAAAATATTATAAATGTCGACTACTTAAGAATTTGAGAAGTCTTCGAAGGGCCTATCAAAATGCACTCCTCGAAAAATATTAGGAGTCCCTTAATGATTCCTTAAAAAATCTGAGACTCTCAAAGGGCCGTTACTTGTATTTTCAAGGAACTGAAAGAGTTGATTTTTGATGCTGGGTTTTCTAAAGACGTGTTTAAGACGACTTCACTAAGGCGGACTTATTTTTTTTTTAAAGACTGAATAGGCAATATATGAATGGAATCTTCGAAGGGCCTATTTATGTGCATTCCTTGAGAATTTTGCAGAGCGCATTAAAGGCTTATCAAAGTGGACTCCATAAAATAAAACATTTTTTTGGGTTCTCACAGGCCCCTGACTTTGTTTTTTAAAGAACTGAAGGAGGTGATCTTTGAAATTTTCAAGATGAATCTAAGGAATACTTAAAGAACTCCTTTTTTTTGAAAAACTGAAAGGGCAACTTTTTTTTCTGCGAAATTTAAAAATGAAAATGAAATGAATTTTTGCAGACTTTCATAAGAACCTCGAATGCCCATAGATATGGATTTTTTGAAGAATTTTAAAAAGTTTCTAAAAGGCCTTGGAGAAACATTTTTTGAAGAATTTTCTGAAAGGTCTCAAAAAGGATTTTTTTAAGGTTTAAAAAAAAGATTTTTGAAGAGTTTTCTGAATAGTTTCTATAGGGAATGTTTTTAAAGAGTTTTCTTAAGATTCTGGAGGGACCAAAAACGTAGATTAAAAAAAAATTTAAAAAATTCTGAAAATAGACTTTTGAAGAAATGTTGGAAAGTTGTTGAAATACCTCAAAATATGATATCTTGTATGAATTTCGTAAGAACCTAAAAGGATCGTAAACATGGATTTTTTTGATTATTAAAAGGTCCTGGATAACTGGATTTGAAGAATTTCTGAAAGGCCGTAGAGGAACACTTTTTTAGAATTTTTAGAATATTTCAAAACAGGATTTTTGAAAAAATTTCGAAGGAAGTTACAGGGCGCAGGTTTTTTGTAAAATTTGGAAAAAGTCCTTAAAGAAATTTGAAAAGCCAGTGAAATGCCTTAAGTCATAAGACCCTGGTAGGCTCGTAAAGTGGATTTTTTCAAGAATTTTCATAAGAATCTGAAAGGTCTATTGACATGTTTTTTTAAGGAATATAGGAAAGTCCTTAAAATCTGAAATTTTGAAGAATTTTCATAAGACCCTGGAAGGCTAATAAATGCGGATTTTCATAACAATCTGTAAGACCTATAGACATAGATTTTTTGAAGAATTTTGCAAAGTTTGCTGAAAGGCCTAAAAAGAAAAATTTTTTTGTAGAATTTTCTGAAAGTTTTCAAATGATGATTTTGAAGAATTTTCGTAAAATCCTAGAAGTATTTTTCCTAAGATTCTAGAGGGCCCAAATAAGTATTATTTTTTTAAATTAGGAAAAAGTTCATAAAGTCCTTAAAATAGGGATTTTAAAGAAATTTTAAAAAACCTTAAAAGAGATTTTTTTTTTGAAAAAAAATTGAAAAGTTGGTAAAAGGTCTTAAATGAGGATATCTTGAAGAATTTTTATAAGAACCTGGCCCTTTAAGCCTCATATGCATAATAAATCATTTTTAAGAGTTATTCATAGACCCTCAAAGGCCTTAAAATTCGATTTTTTAAAGAATTTTTTTAAGTTTCTAAAATGCTTTTTAGACATTTGTTTTTAAGAATTTTGAAAAGTTTCTAAAAGGTTTCAAGAAAGGGTTTTTTGTAACATATTCGTAAGAATTCTTAAAAAGTTCTAAAATATCTTAAAGTTTAATTTTTAGATGAAATCTGAAAATGTAAAGAAATGCCTTAAAAGAGCATATTTTCTAAGGACTTTAAAAAGCCTTAAAAGAGGACATTTTTAAAAATTTTCATAAGATCCTGGAGGGCTCATAAACCTGGATTTTTAAAAAAATCTTTTTAAAAACTCTGGAAGAGATCAAAGGGAAGGATTCTTTGAAGAATTTTGGAAAGGCGTTAAAACGCCTTTTTAAAAAAATTGACAGGGCTTAAAAAGATAACTTTTAAAGAGTTTTTTTATATACCCTTGAAGGCCAATAGAATTAGATTTTCTAAAGAATTTCAGAATGTTTGTCAAATGCCTTAAAATACAATTTTTTTTTTTTTTTTTGAAGAATTTTGAAAGTAGAGGAACTTTGAAGCTTAATTTTTTTAAGAAAGGTTTAAACCACTTTATGGCTGTTTTCGACTGTGATTTTTTGAGAAATTAAGGGTTGGGCTGTAAAAGACATTTAATGCGGATTTTAAGGAAACTTTTCAAAACTTTTTTTGTGAACTTTTTTTGGAAAAAAAAAATTCTTTAAAAACCCATAGCAACATCGAATGACTTAACAGCGTGGTTTCCTTAAGAATTTTGATATATTTCTGGTAGGTCTGCAAACGGCCATAAGGCGACTACGAATGGGGCGACTACGAATGAGGTTCTTACAATGGGATTTTGAAGAATTTGAAAACGACTCTAAAGGGTAACTAGGCCTAAGGGAGTTCCCGAACCTGGATTTCAAGACGACTCTAAGGCGGGTCCAAAATCTGAATTTTTAGGGAATTTCAAGACAACTCTAAGACGGTTAACAAACCTGGATTTTTAGGGAATTTCAAGATGACTCTTAGACGGTTCCCAAACCTGGATTTTTAGGGAGTTTGAAGACAACCCTAAGGAGGTTCCCAAACCTTAATTTTTACGAAAATTCAAGGCGACTTCGAAAGGGCCTTTAAACTGGGCTTTTGAGGAAATTTCGAGACAATTCTTAAGGGGTTCCCAAACTTGATTTTTTAGGGAATTTCAGGACGATTCTAAGGCGGTTCCCAAACCTGTATTTTTAGGGAATTTCAAGACGACTCTAAAGGGCTTCCCAAACCTGGATTTGTAAGGAATTTCAAGACGATTCTAAGGAGGTTTCCAAACCTGGATTTTTAGGGAATTTTAGGAGGACTCTAAGGGGGTTCTCGTAGGGGTTCCTTAAACTGGGATTTTGAGGAACTTAAAAACGACTCTAAGGGGGTTTCCAAACCTGGATTTTTATGGAATTACAAGACGACCATAAGGCGGTTCCCAAGCCAGTTTTTTAGGAAATTTCAGGACGACTTTAAGGCGGTTCCCAAACCTGGAAGTTTAAGAAATTTCGGGTCAAATTTTAAGGCAACTCTAAGGAGGTTCCCAAACCTGGATTTTTAGGAAATTTCAATACGACTCTAAGGGGATTCCAAATCCTGGATTTTTAGAAAATTTATGTCAACTCTAAGCCGGTTCCCAAACCTGTTTTTGGGCATTTTCAAGCAACACTAAAGGTGTTCCCAAATCTGGATTTTAAGGGAATGTCAAGGCGACTCATACGGGTTTCCCAAGCCTGGATTTTTAAGGAATTTTAAAACGACTCTAAGGGGGTTCCAACCCTTTATTTTTAGGGAGTTTCAAGACTACTCTAAGGTGGTTCCCAAACCGGGACTTTTAGGGAATTTCAAGACGACTCTAAGGGGGTTCTCAGAACTTGTATTTTTAGCGAATTTTTAGACGACTCCTAGGGGTGTTCCGAAACCTGGATTTTTAGGAAAAGTTCAAGACGAGTCTAGGGCGTTTTTTTAACCTGAATATTTAAGGAATTTCAAGACGACTCTAAGGGGTTTCGAAATCTTGATTTTTAGGGAATTTCAAGACAACTCTAAAGCGATTCCAAAACCTGGATTTTAGGTGAATTTCAAGACAACTCTAAGGGGGTTCTTAGACCAGGATTTTTGGGGAATTTCAACACAATTCTAAGGGGGTTCTGAAACTTGGATTTTCTGGAAAATTCAAGAGGACTCTTAGGTGGTTCCCGAACCTGGATTTTTTGGGAATTTCAAGACGACTCCTATGGGGGTTCCCAAACCCGGATTTTTAGGAATTTTCAGGACGATTTCGAACGGGTCTTTTAATTTAAATTTGTTTTCTTTTAAGTTATTAATTTTTTTCTTTTCATTCCAGTTGGATGGGCCCCGTCAGCCTGGCCCTCTTCGCCCCCGGCTATGATTTCAACGCCACCATGGATTCCATACAATATGCCCGCCACTGCTTGCCAGAAAGTGGTCTCATCCGAGACTATGTCACATTTCACATTTACTTCCCCAATGATCATATGCCCCCCGAACGGGTACCTCTGACCGAAGAAGAAGCTCTCGAATGGCCATACGATTGTCAATTGGCCGAGGCTCCATACGAGAATGTGGATCGTTCGAATATGTATAAGACAAAGAAAAATCTCACTTATCCCATAAATGTGGGCCGGAATATTGCGCGGAGGGCGGCAAATACTCATTTCATCTTTGCCTGTGACATTGAGTTGTATCCAAGTCGAGGATTGATTGAACAATTTCTGGATATGGCCTATGACAATGTCACATTGGTGGCACCCAGCCGGGAGGGTAAGGCCATGAGGGTATTTGTCCTGCCCGTATTTGAGTTGAAAAAAGATGCTGCCATCCCAGATAGTAAAAAGGAATTGGTGCCAATGCTACGTGCGAAGAAGGCAATACCCTTCCATTACTATGTCTGCAAGTCGTGTCATGTTGTGCCGCAACAGGAACACTGGGTCAATGCAACCTTTAGTGATAAGCTGTCCGTTTTTACGGTGGGTAAACGCCACAAAAAATACGTCTATTGGGAGCCATTCTACATAAGCGACAATCATGAGCCGCTGTTCGATGAACGTGTTACCTGGGAGGGCCAGTCGAATAAACGCATACAAAATTATGCCATGTGTCTGCTGGACTATGAATATCATATCCTACATCCGGCATTTCTGGTCCATTCGCCGGGCATCAAGAAATACAATCCGAAATCGGAACGTCAGCAGTATGTGGGGCCTATGAATAAATTTATTGCGCAGAAAATCAAACCGGAATATGCGGTGTTGTATGGCACGAATAAGGAGTGTAGGGTGTGAGGGGAGGAGGAGGAGGAAATGGGAAATGGGGAACAAAGAGGCATGATGCAGGATTCAGTATTTAGAGGAGGAAAAAATTCGTAATTGTGACCCCAAGTATGAAAATGATTCGAATTACGACCCGCCTTGCCAAGAAGCTTCCGGCATAGCCAAGGATTTATTTTTAGAGGAATTTTTCAAAGAATTTTAAATCATCGATCTAGTGATAATAAATAAGTATTTTTTAAAAAGATTTTTTTTAATTGAAATAAATTATTACATGTGCGGATCTTATATATAGTGTAAGGATATTTTAGAAAAATTTTAATAAATTAATTATTTAAATTAAAAAAATAAATACTTTTTTCAAAAAATAAAAGTGGATTTTTTGAGGAACTTTAACAGGACTCAAACCATGGATTTTTAAGGGACTTCAAGAGAAACGGAAATTTGGATTTTTTAATGAGAACCCTAAGCACTCTAAACGTGGATTTCTAGGGGTTTTCTAAAATATGTTGGATTTATTCAAGGACTTCAAGAAAATTCTAAATGCAATATTTTTGAAAGGACTTCATTAAGGCTTCAAATGTGGATTTTTAAGGACTTCATTAAGGCTCCAAATGTGGATTTTTAAGGACTTCTAAGTTCCCAAAACTTGTTTTAGCGAATTTCAGAACGGCGGTTCCCAAACTTGGATTTCTGGGGAATTTTAAGACGACTCTAAGGGTAGTTCCCAAACCTTGATTTTTAGGGAATTGCGGTTCCTGGATTTTTAGGGAATTTTAAGACGACTTTAAGGGGAGTTCCCAAACCTTGATTTTTAGGGAATTGCGGTTCCTGGATTTTTTGGGGATTTTTAAGACAATTCTAAGGCGGTTCCCAAACTTGGATTTTTAGAGAATTTCAAGACATGGCGGTCCCCATACTTGGATTTTTAGTGAATTTCAAGACAACTCTAACTAAGTTCCCGAACCTGATTTTTTTTTAGGAAATTTCAAGACAACTCTAAGGCGGTCTCCAAATTTTTACGAAATTTTAACTTCCCAAACCTGGATTTTTAGGGAATTTCAAGACGACTCTAAGGGCGTTCACAACCCAAGATTTTTTTCAAGACGACTGTAAGGGGGTTTCCAAACCTAGATTTTATGCGGGTTTTTAAAGAATTTCATTAAGGCTCCAAATGTGGATTTTTAAGGACTTCGACAGGATTTTTTAGGGATTTCAAGAGAACTCTAAAAGTGGATTTTTTCAAGAGAACTCCAAATGTGGACTTTTTTAAGGATTTCAAGCAAATTCTAAATGAGGATTTTTTAAGGATTTCAAGCGAATTCCAAATGAGGATTTTTAAGGACTTCAAGAAAATTCTAAATGTGGATGTTTTAAGGACTTCAAGAGAACTCTGAATGTAGATTTTTTAAGGACTTGGAGAGAACCCTAAATTTCGATTTTCAGGGAATTTCAAAAAAGGTGATAGACGTAAATTTTAGGGAAATTTCAAAAGGACTCTAAACGTGGTTTTCTAAGGGATTTCAAAAACTCCAGACGCGGATATTTATGGACTTCACGTAGAACTCTAAAAGTGGATGAATTTTAATTTTAGGGTATTTTATAGAGAGTCTTATTTATTAAGGAATTTTATAGAGGATCTAAAAATTATGGTTCCAAATGTTCTAAAGAAGTCTTTAAGGAGGATTTTAAGCTGATGTTCAAGCTGACTTTCAGGGACCAACATTTCAAGGGGTCAGCTCTGAGAATTTAATTAAAAAAAAATCATTAAGAACCGTTGGGCGCCACGTTGTTTTAAAAGACTTAAAAGATTTAAAAGAGGATCTAAAAATTAGAGTTCCAAATGTTCTAAAGAAGTCTTTAACAAGGATTTTAAGTATATTTAAGGCGACTTTCAGTTGGATAGGGAATTTCAAGAAGGTGATAAAAGTGAATTTTTAGGAAATTCCAAAAGGACTCTAAACGTGGTTTTCTAAGGGTTTCAAAAACTCCAAACGCGGATATTTGGGGACTTCACAGAAAACTCTAAAATTGGATGAATTTTATTTTTAAGGTATTTTATAGAAAGTCTTTGTGCGCCATTAACGTTATTTTTGAGGGATTTAATAGAGGATCTACAAATTAGGGTTTAAAATTTTCTAAAGAAGTCTTTAACGAGGATTTTATTTTATTTTATATTCAAGTCGACTTTCAGGGACTAAATTTTCAAAGGTTCAGCTCAGAGAATTTTCGAGAGAGTCACAAAACATTAATTTAAAAAATCTTTAAGAACCGTTGGGCGCCACGTTGTAGTAAAGGACTTGTAGAGTTTACTAAACATGGATTTTTTAAGGAATTTAAAAGAGGATCTAGCAATTAGGGTTCAAAATGTTCTAAAGAAGTCTTAAACGAGGATTTTAAGGTGATATTCAAGCCGACTTTCAGGGACTAACTTTTCAAAGGGTCATCTCTGAGAATTTCCGGGAGAGTCACAAAACTTTAATTAACAAAATCATTAAGAACCGTTGGGCGCCACGTTGTATTAAAGGACTTGTAGAGTATCCTAAACGTGGATTTTTTAAGGGATTTAAAAAGAGGATTTAAAAATTGGGGTTCAAAATGTTCTAAAGAAGCCTTTAACGAAGATTTTAAGCTGATATTTAAGCTGACTTTCAGTTGAATTTTTAATGGGAACCCTAACCTCAATTTTTAGGGTAATAGACGTGAATTTTTAGGAAATTTCAAAAGGATTTTAAACTTGGTTTTCTAAGGGATTTCCAAAACTCCAAACGCGGATATTTAGGGACTTCAAAGAGAACTCTAAACTTGGATTTTTAAGGACTTCATCAAGACTCCAAATGTGGATTTGTAAAGGACTTCAAAAGAACTCTAAAAGTGGACTTTTTAAGGACTTCAAAGACAACTCTGAAAGTGGATTTATTAAGGACTTCATGAGAACTCTAAACGTGGATTTTTGAGGACTTCAAGAGAACTCTAAACGTGAACTTTTTAAGAACGTCAAGAGAACTCTGATTGCTAGATTTTTAAGGACTTCAAGAGAACTCTGAACGCAGATTTTTTAAGGACTTCGAGACAACTCTAAACATGGAACCATAAACCTGGATTTTTTAAGGCCTTTAAAAGATCTTTTTTATGAATTTTAATAGATCTCTATTCGTGGCCTTTTTAAATTACTTCTAGAGAACTCAATAATTTGTTTTTCAAGGACTTCTAGGGAACTCAAAAATTTGATATTTTAAGGACTTCATGAGAACTCTAAACGTTGATTTTTTAATGACTTCAAGAAAACTCTAAATGTGGATTTTTCAAGGATTTCAAGGGAATTCTAAATGAGGATTTTTTAAGGACTTCAAGAGAACTCTAAACCTGGATTTTTAAGGACTTCATTAATGCTCCAATCGTGGATCTGCGAAGGACTTTATTAAGGCTCTAAAAGTGGATTTATTAAGGACTTCAAGAGAAGTTCAAACGTGGATTTTTTAAGGACTTCAAGAGATCCCTATTCGTGGATTTTTAAGGACTTTAAGAGAACTAAAATACTTGATTTTTTAAGGACATCAATAGGACTTCTTAAGGACTTCGAGAGAACTCTAAATTTGGATTTTTAAGGACTTCAAGAGAACCATAAACGTGGATTTTTTAAGGACTTTAAAATATCTTTTTTATGCATTTTAAGAGATCTCTATTCGTGGATTTTTTAAGGACTTCTAGAGAAGTCAATAATTTGATTTTTAAGGACTTCTAGAGGACTTCAATCGTGGATTTTTAAGGACTTCTGGAGAACTCAAAAATTTGATTTTTGAGGACTTCTAGGGGATACTAAACGTGGATTTTTAAGCACTTCAAGGAAATTCTTCAAGAGAACCGTAAGCGTTGATTTTTTAAGGACTTCAAGAGGAACCTAATGGCGGATTTTCAAGGACTTTATTAAGACTCCAAACGTGGATTCGTAAAGGACCTCATTAAGGCCCCAAACGTGGATTTGCAAAGGACCTCATTAAGGCCCCAAACGTGGATTTGCAAAGGACCTCATTAAGGCCCCAAACGTGGATTTGCAAAGGACCTCATTAAGTCGTGGATTTCTAAAAGTCTTCATTAAGGCTCTAAACGTGCATTTTTAAAGAGATCCCTAGCATAGATTTTTAGTGAACTTCAAGAAGATTATAAACATGGATTACTTACGAGAGCTTCATGAGAAGCCCAAACGTGCTTTCCTAAGGAACTTCAAAACTTTGGGTCATCTCAAAGAATTTGACGACGTCGCTAGGATCATCTTTACCTTTAAAGAAAATTCAAAGGGAACTGGGGAAATCAGGAGGATCTAAAAATGAGGAGTTAAAACAACCCTAGAGGGCATTCAAAGGAGGATTCCTAAGGATTTTAAGGAAAATTATTGTAAAAAAAAATTCAATGGAGACCTTTGGGCGCCATATGCGTGTTACGGGACTTGAAAAGTGTCCTGAACGGTTTTTTAAGGAATTTAAAAGGTCTCCAATCGTTTTTTAGAGGATTTTAAGATGACTCTTTGAGGTCCTTTAACGTGGATTTTTAAAGGATGTCAGGAGGACTCTTTGAGTTCCTTTAACGTGGATTTCCAAAGGATTTTAAGAGGACTCTTTGAGGTCCTTTAACTTGGATTTCTCAAGAATTTCAGGAGGACTCTTTGAGGTCCTTTAAAGTGGATTTCTAAAGGATTTTAAGAGGACACTTTGAGCTCCTTTAATGTGCATTTCTAAGGGATTTTAAGAGGACTCCTTAGGTCAATTGACATGATTTTTTAAAGAATTTCAAGAGGACTCTTGGAGGTCTAATACCAGGGATTTCTAAACGATTTCAAAAGGCCTCTATAAGGCCTACTAATGTGGATTTTAAGAGGACTCTTAGAGGTCTTTTGGAATTGCATTTTTAAAGGGTTTTAAGAGGACTCTTTAAGGTCTATTGAAGTGGATTTTAAGAGGACTATTTGAGGTCTATTGCAGAAAATTTTTAAACGATTTTAAAAGGACTCTTCGAGGTTTATAAGAGGACTCTTTGAGGTCTATAAACGAGGTCTATGAACGTGGATTTTTTTAAGAATTTCCCGAGGATTCTTTGAGGTCTATTGACGAGGATTTTTAAAGGACCCTATGGGGTCTATTGCCGTGGATTTTTAGAGGATTTTAAGAGGACTCTTTGTGGACTATGAACATGTATTTCTTAAAGATTTTCCCGAGGATTCTTTGAGGTCTATTGACGTGGATTTTTAAAGTATTTTAAGAGGACCCTTTGAGGTCTATTAATGAGGTTTTTTATAGGATTTTAAGAGGACTCTTTGAGGTCTATTGACGAGAATTTTTTAAGGACTTTTTGAGGTCTATTGACGAGAATTTTTAAAGGACTCTATGAGGTCTATTGCTGTGGATTTTTAGAGGATTTTAAGAGGACTCTTTGAGGACTATGAACATGCATTTTTTAAAGATTTTCCCGGGGATTCTTTAAGGTCTATGAACGTGGATTTTTAAAGAATTTCCCGAGGACTCTTAGAGGTCTATTGACAGGGATTTTTATAGGATTTGGAGAGGACTCTTTGAGGTCTATTAATGAGGATTTTTTAAAGGATTTTAAAAGGGCTCTTTGAGGTCTATTGACGAGGATTTTTATAGGATTTGAAGAGGGCTCTTTGAGGTCTATTAATGAGGATTTTTTTAAAAGATTTTAAAAGGACTCTTAGAGGTCTAATATCAGGGATTTTAAAAAGACTGTTTAAGGTCTATTAAAGTGGATTTCAAGAGGACTCTTAGAGGTCTATTGACGTGTACTTTTAAGGGTTTTTAAGAGGACTCTTTGAGGTCTATTAATGAGGATTTTTTAAAAGATTTTAAGAGGACTCTTTGAGGTCTATTGACGTGGATTTTTAAGGGATTCTTTGGGGTCTATTGATGTGGATTTTTAAAGGATTTTTAGAGGACTCTTTGAGGTCTATTAATGAGGATAGTTTAAAGGATTTTAAAAGGACTCTTTGAGGCCTATTGGGAGGACTCTTAGTGGCCTAATAACAGGGATTTCTTAAAGGATTTGAAGGATACTCTTTGAGGACTGTTAATGTGGATTTTTGTGAAGAACTTCGAGAGCACCGTTTGAGATGTATTAAGGTGGGTTTTTCAAGAGTTCCAAGAAGGAATCTTTGAGGTCTATTAACGTAGATATTTTTAAGAATTTTAAGGGGCCTATTCGATTTCTATTAACTTGATCTATTTTTTCTTACTTAGATATAATCTTCCCCATCCCATTGTGCTGTCAATGACAAACCTCCAAATTTAACAACAACAAACTGTTTTTATTTCCTCTCCAACAACAACTTTCAATAAATGTGGACCATGTGTTTTTTTCCATTGCTTCGAAGTGAAAACAAACAGCTTTCTTCGATTTTAGAAGATCTGATATGAAGCTATGTTAATTTTTTGGGCGAAAGAAACATTTCTTTAAAGACAAAGTCGAAAACACCATACACATGGGTCGGAGAGCGTCAGAATTAGAATCGCAATGAAGAGTGAAAAAATGTCAATAGATTCTCAAATTAAAATATTTCGAATTTTATTTGTGAGTTCCATAAGTTTAACGTTAATATGGTTAATGGTAACGTTGGCGATTTCGTCGAAAAGTCGTCCTGTAAAAATTTCGGTATGGCAAGGAATTGAAGGGCATAAAAAGGTTGAGGCATTGGATACCAGAAACAGAAAACATTTAAAATCGATGTTGCGGTGCAAAGATTCGGATTTAAAAATGGAGATATTGTTTCGTGGCGATCATTGGATTTTGCAGAATATGATAAGCGGCCTTCGGAGTCGCAAGATGGGCTGTGCGGAAGCGATAACTTTTGTAACGGTGGCGGATTTTAGTTATCTCATGCATTTGGAAACCCTTGTGGAGCGGTGAGTAGGAGAGCTGATAAAAGTTTATTTTTAAATTCATCTTCTCTTGAAATTCTTAAAAATATCCACGTTTATGACCTTAAAAAAAACCTCGGGAAATTCTAAAAAAAATCCACGTTCATAGACCTCAAAGAAACCTCGGGAAATTCTTAAAAAAAATCCACTTTCATAGACCTCAGAGAAACCTCGGGAAATTCTTTAAAAAATCCACGTTCATAGACCACAAAGAATCCTCGGGAAATTCTTTAAAAATCCACGTTCATAGACCTCAAAGAATCCTCGGGAAATTCTTTAAAAAACCACGTTCATAGACCCCAAAGAATCCTCGGGAAATTCTTTAAAAAATCCTCAAAGAATCCTCGGGAAATTCTTTAAAATCCACGTTCATAGACCTCAAAGAATCCTCGGGAAATTCTTTAAAAATCCACGTTCATAGACCTCAAAGAATCCTCGGGAAATTCTTTAAAAATCCACGTTCATAGACCTCAAAGAATCCTCGGGAAATTCTTTAAAAAATCCTCAAAGAATCCTCGGGAAATTCTTTAAAAATCCACGTTCATAGACCTCAAAGAATCCTCGGGAAATTCTTTAAAAAATCCTCAAAGAATCCTCGGGAAATTCTTTAAAAATCCACGTTCTTAGACCTCAAAGAATCCTTTGAGAATTCTTTAAAAAATCCACGTTCGTAGACCTCAAAGAATCCTCGGGACATTCTTTAAAAAATCCACGTTCGTAGACCTCAAAGAATCCTCGGGACATTCTTTAAAAAATCCACGTTCATAGACCTCAGAGAATCCTTTGAGAATTCTTTAAAAAATCCACGTTCATAGACCTCAGAGAATCCTTTGAGAATTCTTTAAAAAAATCCACGTTCATAGACCTCAAAGAATGCTCGGGAAATTCTTTAAAAAATCCACGTTCATAGACCTCAAAGAATCGTCGAGAAATTCGTTAAAAAATCCACGTTCATAGACCTCAAAGAATGGTCGGGAAATTCTTTAAAAAATCTACGTTCATAGACCTCACAGAATCCTCAGGAAACTCTTATAAAATCCACGTTCACAGACCTCAAAGAATCCTCGGGAAATTCTTTAAAAAATCTACGTTCACAGACCTCAAAGAATCCTCGGGAAATTCTTTAAAAAATCCACGTTCTTAGACCTCAAAGAATCCTCGGGAAATTCTTTAAAAAATCCACGTTCTTAGACCTCAAAAAATTCTCGGGAAATTCTTTAAAAAATCCACGTTTAAAGGCCTCAAAGAATCCTCGGGAAATTTTTTAAAAAGAAACCTCAGGAAACTCTTAAAAAATCCACGTTCACAGACCTCAAAGAATCCTCGGGAAATTCTTTAAAAAATCCACGTTCTTAGACCTCAAAGAATCCTCGGGAAATTGTTTAAAAAATCCACGTTCATAGACCTCAAGGAGTCCTCAGGAAATTCTTTAAAAATTCCAAGTAAATAGGCCTCTAAGAATCCTTCGGGAAATTCTTTAAAAATTCCACGTTCTTAGACCTCAAAGAATCCTCGGGAAATTCTTTGGAAAATCCACGTTCTTAGACCTCAAAGAATCCTTTGAGAATTCTTTAAAAATCCACGTTCATAGACCTCAAAGAATCCTCGGGAAATTCTTTGAAAAATCCACGTTCTTAGACCTCAAAGAATCCTTTGAGAATTCTTTAAAAATCCACGTTCATAGACCTCAAAGAATCCTCGGGAAATTGTTTAAAAAATCCACGTTCATAGACCTCAAGGAGTCCTCAGGAAATTCTTTAAAAATTCAAAGTAAATAGGCCTCTAAGAATCCTTCGGGAAATTCTTTAAAAATTCCACGTTCTTAGACCTCAAAAAATTCGCGGGAAATTCTTTAAAAAATCCATGTTCTTAGACCTCAACAAATCCTCGGGAAATTCTTTAAAAAATCCACGTTCATAGACCTCAAAGAATCCTCGGGAAATTCTTTAAAAAATCCACGTTCATAGACCTCAAAGAATCCTCAGGAAATTCTTTAAAAAACCCACGTTCATAGACTTCAATGAATCCTCGGGAAATTCTTTCAAAATCTACGTTCATAGATCTCAAAAAGTCCTCGGGAAATTCTTTAAAAAATCCACGTTCATAGACCTCAAATAATCCTCAGGAAATTCTTTACAAAATCCACGTTGAAAGACCTCAAAGAATCCTCGGGAAAATCTTTAAATATCCACGTTTATAGACCTCAAAAAATCCTCGGGAAATTCTTTAAAAAATCCACGTTTATAGACCTCAAAGAGACCTCGGGAAATTCATTAAAAACTCCACGTTCATAGACCTCAAAGAATCCTTGGAAAATTCTTTAAAAAATCCACGTTCGTAGACCTCAAAGAATCCTTGGAAAATTCTTAAAAAATCCACGTTCGTAGACCTCAAAGAATCCTCGGACAATTCTTTAAAAAATCCACGTTCATAGACCTCAAAAAATCCTCCTCAAAGAGTCATCTAAAAATCCTTTAAAGATCCACGTTAGTATACCTCAAAGAGTCCTCTTAACATCTTTGAAAAATTTTCGTCAACAGACCTCAAATAGTCCTCTCAAAATTCCCATAAATACCCTTTAAGAGTCCTTTTAATATCCTTTAAAAAACCACTTCAAAGGACCTCAAAGAGTCCTCTTAAAATCCTTTAAAAATCCACGATAATAGACCCCAAAGAGTCCTCTCAAAATTCCTTTCAAAATCCAAGTAAATAGATCGCAAAGAGTTCTTTTAAAATCCTTTAAAAAATTCCTGCTATTAGACCTCTAAGAGTCCTCCTAAAATCCCTTACAAATCCTCGTTAATAGACCTTAAAGAGTCCTCTTAAAATCCTTTAAGAACCCACGTTAATAGACCTCAAAGAGTCCTTTTAAAATCCTTTAAAAATTGTTATTAGACTTCAAAGGTTCCTCTTCAAATTCTATAAAAGTCTCTGTTATAAGACCTCTAGGAATCCTTCTAAAATCCTTTGAAAATCCACGTCAATAGACCTAAAGAGTCCTCTTAAAATCCTTTGGAAATCCATGTTAATAGACCTAAAAGTGTCCTCCTCAAATCCTTTAAAAAAAATCCTGTTATTAGACCTCGAAGAGACCTCTTAAAGTCCTTTCAAAAATTCTTGTTCTTAGACCTCAAGCTGTCTTTGAAAATCCTTGAAAATTCCACGTCTATAGACCTCTAAAAGTCCTTTAAAAATCCTTGTTATTAGATCTCTAGGAGTCCTCTTAAAATCCACGTCAATAGACCTCAAAGAGTCGTCTTAAAACCCTCAAAATTGGCTTCAAAGAGTCCTCTTAAAATTCTTTAAAAAAGAAAATGCAGAAAATTCTTCTCCAAATTCCTTTAAATCCAGGTCCTTTAAAATCGTCATTAAAATATTTGTTTAAGGACCCTCTACGGGCCTCCTTGAAATTCGTAAAAATTCCATCTTTAAGGACATCCTTCTAAAAGTCATACCACCCATGAGCCTTCTACCTCTATCTACTCGAACTTTCCTTGATTTGTTTTTCTAATTCCAAAAAATTTACCCCTTTTTTTTCCTTCCCCCCAGCTGGATGGGTCCCATTAGCCTGGCCCTGTTCGCCCCTGGCGATGACTTCTATGCCACCATGAATGCCATTCAATATGCTCGCCTGTGCCTGCCCATCAGTAAACTGGTGCGGGACTATGTGACATTTCACATCTACTTTCCCAGTGGTCATTTGCCAGTGGACGGGATACCACGGACGCCTCTCGAAGCCCTCAAATGGCCAGCTAACTGTTCCGAACCATATGCGCCCTATGAAAATGTAAGACGCCGAGATTTGTATTGGCATGGGTTACAGCTGGGATTACCCATAAATTTGGGACGAAATGTGGCCCGCAGATCCATCAACACCCACTATGCCCTGGTGGCGGATATTGAATTATATCCCAGCAAAGATTTTATTCCACAATTTTTCGATATGATCTCTCGAAATACCAGTTTGGTGACGTCAAAAAATCGCCATGTCTTTGCGGTGCCTGCCTTTGATTTGGATCACCATGCCATGGTGCCCGACACCAAAGAGGATCTAATGACAATGTACAACATGGGCATGGCCATGGAAATGCATCATCGTAGCTGTAGCTATTGTCAACTCATTCCGGAGGAGCAAAAATGGTTGGAGCGGG